TGCCATAATGGTCATGACATTTCCCAGTATTTGACCTTGGCGAATGACAAGATCTGTCGGGAATGTAGATGGGGGCATCGTTGTATACGATCCAAAGATGGAATTTATCAAGGCTACCATAACAGGGCTCTTGGGAATAGACGTGTCCTCCACACGAGCAGGCCACGAAAGCGAGGTCAGATTACCTATGTACCTAGGAATTTGAATATAGCCAAAATTAATATAGCGACCCTGGGCCGCAAATGGTGACCGTTCGTAGCTAAGTCTCCATATAAACTGGCCTTAGTGCAACAGTTGATTTCATTTGTCTCCCCAATAGCTGCAGCTTCAACCTCGCCTAGCTATCGTCATCCCTAACAAACAAGAAGTCCCTGCAATGCGAGTCATTATTTCAGCGTATTTATACGAGTCATTATTTCAGCGTATTTATACGAGTCGTAGCTATGGGGGAGGTGGATTGTCAGGAAGCCAAACCCCATACCACTCGTGGTGGAGCTACTGATGATGCGAACCCAAGCCTTACTACGCTGGTTATATTCGCGACTAATTTCGCTACTATTACCACCCAAGCGATGTTTAACCAGTTCGGTGCGGTGCGAGATGTGCATGGCGAGTTGTAAAAAGGCTACCGTTATCGCATCGCCCTAAACATTCGTTGAAATGCGTATAGGACCCTGCCTTTGATGCAGTAATTCCCAGGCCGGAAGCAGGTTGTGCCCAAAATCTCCATGAGCAACAGTTCAGAATCATGAACTAATCTGATACCAGTCGAATCTGCGAGTGTCACCAGTTTGCCATAAGGAAATCAGCCCTTGTGAGTTATCATTGCTTTGTTTAAGTAATCGACCTCGACAAGTTGGTTAAGCATGAGCAATACAAATAACTAAACTATATTTTCGTGGGATGACTGCGAATGCCGAGCAATTTGCCGGCCCTACTTAACGAAATGGTCATAGCAATGACATTGAGATATACCAGCGTATTTTCCAATCAATTATGATGGAACTTGAGTGTTGTCAACTTGTCCTGTATTGTGATTTGGGCTAAGATAAACGGACAGGATGACTGGTGAAGGATAGTTGATCTTTCCTCCGGGACACAAGGAACAGAAGATGACGGTATATTATCAGTGCCAAAAGAAAGAATAGAATCAGGTAGGGGGAAATTTTATATATTTCCCGAAAAAACCGGTTTTCCGTGACTTACGGGAAGAAAAAAGAGATGCGACTTGACCATTTACAATAAGCCTGGGGAAAGTGGGTCGGGCCCATGAATGACGATTTGATCGAGTTAAAAACAACAATGTATGAGAAGATATGTTTATAATTTTCAACCGCTTGTGTCTGGAAAAAAAAGGACTTTAGGTCGGGGTTGTACAATGTCAAACAGAGAATCTATCGAATCTAACGATGAGGCCGCTATCGCCTACACAGAGTAAGATGCGCCCATCGTCAGCGAACCGTGTCTGCCGAATTGCGGCGCAGGTCCCGGCCGCAAGTCCCAAACCAGTGCCGCAGCCAGTAAAGGAAATAGGTAGTATCTGGGGGCTGAGACTAAAGGCCATCTCGGACCGAGAAAGGTCCCAGAGATAGATACGGGAAGCTCCTGTTCCAGTGCCCAGAGCTAGTAGTTGGTGCTCAAGGTCGAGGTCAAACCGAATGTACCATAGATTGCAATCCGGAGCCTTGAGTTGATGGATGATGTTGATTCTATGCTCAGTTGGCACACCTGGCACTGCGTGAAAGCTGATGATGCAGACATGTGGTGTTAGAAAG